TGCTCGTAGACTACTATTTATCTTGAAGAAAAGCACTTCTTACGCGAAGAACCGAGAATAACATGTCAGATCACGGTTTACAAGACTATGCCACGTAATACTCGATATTTTTAAAGGGACAATGTCTTGGAGTTCTCTATTCTAATTTCCATATTATATTGTCAAACGCCACAAAAAAGAGAGAGAAAGATTCTACGAAGCAAAACAGAACAAGTATATTGGGAAAGAGGTACACATAACAAAGATGGAAGAGGATTACAGATCAAAAAATTTGTTTTTGTGACAGTATGTCAAAAAATCGAAATTGTCATTCTAGCGAAATTTTAAATGTTTTGATCATATTATTTTTTTATTAGTTGATACACACTTATTTTTTCTGTTGCAAGATAATAAAGGATGTTAATGTTAAGTTCCTGATATATCAGCCTGGACAGCTGTCCTTTTAATGGCTTCTTCTGTCATTTTGTTTGCACTTAACAGATCTATGATCTCTTAATGCTTCATGGCCAGAGAGACGAGTTTGATAGCAGGTAATGTATTCATCTTGTTTTTCAAGAAAGCCGTAAAACGTCCTTCTTGTAATCTTGTTTTTAAACTTATTGCGAAGCACCTTCCATACATGTGTCATCTTCTTGTGTTGGCAAGAGGAAGCCACAATGATTTGATGGTTCGTGCGGTGGGCTCCGTTTGCATTTTTTTAGGTTCATTACTGTGTTCCAAGACAAGACACTTTGCTCGCACGGTGTCTCTCTCTACCCCAGAGTATTGTCAGAGCCATCTACAAAATGCTGTTGGAGGGTGGGGTGGGGTGGGGGGGGGTGCGCAGTGGTAACCTTGCTTTTTGGGAAGTGTTAAAGCAACCTTGACATAAGCCATGTGTAAAGTAGAATGGATTAGTGCAGTTTACAGATGAACTGCAGGGGCGAAGTGTGTTTTTTTTTTCTTTCACAGAAGCTTGTTATTGTGCCTAAGAATAAAGATTCAACAGAACGAGTTTTCTTTTTAGTTTACAATTCTTTAATTGTGATTTTCTTCAGATGGCGCAGCGCAAGTGCTGTGAAGAGAGCTATGGAAGACAAAGTACGTTGTATAATATCGACAAGGCCCTGGAGAAGGAAAAAATATTCGTGCTGAGAGACGGCGGCGGAAAAATTGCTACCCCATTCACGTACAAAGGAAACAATTCGAGAACTATGTTTCCACAGCTATGTTTCATTCCACGTTTGTGGGGAACGAGAGGCGTTGCTCATTTGCTTTACAAACTTGAGAGCTTCAAATTCAACAAAGTTGATTTAGATTTTGTACAAAATGTATCGAACCGTAATACTTTCATTTATTTTGACGTCCGTCGTAATGGCACTACC